AAAAAAAAAAAAAAAAAACAGCACCACTCCAAATGATATGCAGAAGAATCGTTTCCCCTCTTTTTATCCCCAGCTCTAGATAGCTCCCATCCCTTTTATTCGCCTAAGACGAAAGGATTTTAACTAGAAAGCGGCCATGAAGGCGACAGTCAGTAATCAACTAGGCCAGCATGTCATATTTTGCTTATTTGCACTTCTTCCATTTGAATAAAAGGGCAGAAGTTCTAGAGTTCATCTATATCCAAGACAAAAAGTTAGCCCACGCAACTAAAACAACCATATACGTCTCAATCCCAAGCAACTTGGGGTTATGAATCCTCACTGGCATGTTTCTCCATTTAAAGTCATCTCAGGCCAACATCATACAAATAAAAATTACCAAAAGTTCTCCATATTTTCTGTAGGCATAAAAATCTCAGACGGTTAAAACTCCTAAAAAGCATAGGACTAAACTAAATAAACTTACATGACTAAAACATATGCCCAACTAATTGGTATCGCGTAGGTAGATCTTTTTGCTCCATCATACCCTATCTTTCGCTTGGTCTGCATGGATTCGATTGTACGTGGGCAACTAAACGTTAATATTCTTTAAGACATGCACCTCGTTACAAAAACCAATATGACCGCTACTGCTGATGTATTGCATACACACTTCCATTCTGCTGCCTCTTAACATAAGCTTCTAACTTTCCTGTTGCTGCCAAGACCAGACCTGTCGCACAAAGACAAATATGACAGATGGATCTTAGGTAGAGGGATCATCACATCATGTCGAATTAACAAGTTGCAAACTCTGTTAGAATCCTATTTTGGTAATGGCGTAATGCATAGGAATACAGTATCATCGCAAAATTAATATATGTATAACATTTGTCTGCTCAGCTTATCAGGTCCTCTCTTCTACCACCAATCTCGAAAAAAGATCCACTTATACCAATATATTGGCAGGGTCAAATAAATTTGCAAATTGCGACTAAAGGAAGCGATGGACGAATACAAAACATGCTTGGAGAGAGAAATGCAGAAACAAAACGGCTCGAGGAAAAGAATGTTTAAACTAGTTATCCCCTATAACCCTCCCAACTAATTGTTCCCCATATCCTTCGCCACTGCTACCCTAGTCTAAAGAAACGTATACATATATCTTCATATATGTATATATATCAAGACACATAAGAACAGCCATAGATTTCTTAAGCAATATAAACAACTTTGTTAAACTGATAAATCTTCCTTGTGAAGAAATAAAGGACATCATCCGATGTCACTGCCTAGAGCAACACAATAAAACAATAAGCACAGAAACTGTATGGAACTATGAAACTGCCTCTTAGATAAAGGACAATACACATTTACATCAATGTCAATAATAGGGAAATAATAAGCACCAAAAATGCCATTTTCTTTTATATAGCATGAAGTCCATAGTTATTATACTCAGGACAGACACATTCATCCAACTAATCCCTACCTAGAAAAGGAGCAGACGGCCTCCCAGGCCTTGACTTAAATTCAGGATGAAATTGCACCCCAATGTAAAATGGATGATCTGGAAGTTCCAAAATCTGCATAAAAAGCGTTTTTTTTTTTTTGGGTTGGGGAGGAAGAACAAGTCAACAATAGCAATAACAGAAAGAAGAAAGTAATCAGGAAATCACAACAATGTGACCAAACGATGCACCCAAGGGTGGGGCCTAGTGGTCAATGAAGTAGGAGGAGAACCATGAGGTCTTGGGTTCAAATCCCAATAGAGGCAAAAAACACTAGGTGATTTCTCCCAATCTGCTCAAGCTTTGGTTTGCAGAGTTACCTGGTACCTGTGTGGGTGTGAGGTAGCAGGTATCGGGTGGAATAGTTGAGGTGTGCTCAAGCTAGCCCCAACACCACCGAGATTTTTGAAAAAAAAAAAAAAAGAAGACAATGTGACCAAATGATCACTGACATAGAGCAAGAACAATGTCACAAAGAACTAGTTTTTCGTTTCTTCAGGAAGTCAATAGTGACTTATAACCTATACTGCAAAAACAAACCTCCATCCGTTTCCCACTTTCATCCCTTCCTACAAATTTCAAGCCGGCTTCTTCCAAAGAGCCAACAATCTCAGGATTGACCTGCAACATACACACAACACTAAAAGATTATGCTGCAGGGATGACAACATACATGAAACGACCATTTCAATGCAACAAAGTTTACTCTTATGGTTTAACCTCATATCTATGGCGATGTCGTTCGTCCACATATTCTGAATTGTTATACCTGCCAACAGAAAGAATGTTAGGTACTCTTACAAACATGCAATGCAAATATCAAAGAAATCCTGCACAGGTGCAAAAACTCAGGTCTCAATGAAAAAAAGATGTCCAAACGAATCATAGTCCCCATCACAAATCAGGCTTGACAACTTCAAGATCAAGTGTTATGCTCCTGTCAGAGGTACACAGCATACAAATTACATTCTAAGCCTAGTTCAAAGCCTAGGAAGCCCTGAAAGATGCCAAATGACCCAATCATCTGATGGAGGCACTCTAATGATGATAGATGAAAGCTTTCTAGTCTAATTCTTATGATTTAACTGTGAAATGATGACATATAGAATCTGTACAGCTTTGCAGTGATACAATCAGGAGTCTGGAACAACGTTCTTCGAGAACCAAGCCTCATTGTACTTCCCATATGTGTTTTTGATCCCTGCATTACCAAGAAGATGTAGTAGAGAATCTTACTAATCCATACTTTAAAAAGAATGTAGCAGCGAAATGGGAAAAAAGGTAGAGGAGTTCATTATAAAAAGGCAATACAGCATCCATCTATTTATGCTTTATAGTGAGCAAGCTACCTCTGGCATGAAAATTACAACACGCTCAGGTGTCTGGGGATCAAACTCTTCACTGTTGGCCTTCTCCAAATGTAAAACCTTCAACGGTTAAACCATATAGTGCCAACTATTAGAGAGTTTATCAAACACAATGAATCTTCTGATTTGATGTTCAAGAAAATGAACTCACAGATCTAGCAAACTCAATAACAGAGATCTGCATCCCTAAACAGATCCCCAGATATGGTACGCTGTTCTCCCTGGCATACCTTGCAGCCAACATCATTCCCTTGACACCCCGATCACCAAATCCACCAGGAACCAAGACGCATGCTGCACCCTGCACAGGAGGATTTGATTAAATAGCCTCTAAAATGAACAAGATTTTTGCACAACCTTGCTAGTGAAATTGTCAGAGAAAATAGTTCATAACAGCACAAGACTACACACTCAGCTTAAAATTCTTGGTAATATTAGATGACAAAAACACTATTCATGGATACACTGCATGCTATTGTAATAGAAGCTTAGAATTTGACTGGAGTGACGTATTCACACACATCTCACATTAGCACTCAGCAGTAACAAGGCATCTTAAGGTAGACCCTAGAAAACCACAACCACCATGAGCTAGAATCGGGTAGTGGGTACCCACAATAAAAGTACAAATGGAAGTAAGATGATGAAAGTTGGCAGGTGGACTAAAGGCCAACCTTGAGTAAGTAGCAGTGCAATAAAAAAATTGAATTGTCAAATTCACCCAAAATAAACCTCGAATTGTCAACACGCCAAGGAGACAACATGACGTGTTAAAGAGATGATCAGCTAAGAAGTTGGTCACCCTTGCTCTATGACTAATATTGCTATAAAAAACTACTGTTTTTTTCTTCTCACTAGAAAAAGCAGGTGGAGTAATTCATGTCTAAATAAAGTGAAAATATTGAGCAAACAATGAGCAATAACTGGAGCAAGAATGACGGATGACATAACTATTACTACTAGACAAGGATCAAAATTTACCCTTAGAGTCTTCCATGCAGCTGCATGAGCTTCTGGATTCTATGGAAAAAGGTAGTTACAATCAGCAGTCCGAGGCAGCACTTAACGGGAAAAAGAGGAAAAGCTAGGTACCAATTTAGCACTATCATCTTCAAGATCTGATGCTGCAATCCAGGCGATTGACGGCTTCAATGAACATGCAATACAGGCATGCATAAGAGCCTGGAAATATGAAAAGAAACATAGAAAGACAGAGTAGTCAATACCAAGTAACAGTTTTAAGCTGCAAAAGTCTTATCTTTCTATTCCAGCACCAGGAAGTAGAATATTAGCAATGTCCAATAGGAAAATGCTACTTTGAAAATAAAATCGGAAGCAACACATGCAGGCCGGTTCCTGAAACTTCAGTTTGGTTTATTACGCTTGAAAAGAAATGTGGAGATGTTCTTTGCAGTATCATTAATGGTACCTTCACTACAGACAAATATGAATCTGTTAGCCCAACGTACTTCCCAACCATCGCAATGCTCACCTGAAAAAAGAATAAGTTTTGCTCAGAGCATGTACTTGTTAGAAAGTATACCTATATTTCCTGATCCTACTAACAGATTTGGTAATGTTATCAGATGTCTCAGCTCTTCTGGTCCACTCCTGTAAATCAACATGTCTTGCCACACTGAGACATAGATAAATATTGTCAGCAAACATATTAAGCTCTTACAAAATATCAAAATCGATTAGGCTCGTTTAGGTCCATATCAGATAGCAGCTACTTACAATTAAAAAAAATACCAGGTTAAACTCATAAATGAGAAAAAAACTGCATATGTAGCTATTAAATAATTTTGCGATTTCAGTAGAACAGTAGGGGAATAATGAGAGTAGAGAATTACTCCCTCTTTTCCAGAAAGAATGACATTATCATCAGTATTTGCGGATCCAAACAGTTTTCTCTTTGTCTACGATCTTTTCAAAGACTTTTAACTAAAAAAAATATTAAGTGTGATGCATAATAGTACTACGTACTGTATTTGCTAAATATTAAAATTTTAGCTAAGAAAATTCAAGAAAGTTGATATCTGAATTCACACCGTAAATTTGATGCATTGACTCTCATTTTCGAATCCCAACATTCTTTCTGGGATGCAGGGAATAATTTTAAAATTCCAAATTCTAGCTTAAAGAAAACATAAAAGAAGAACGAAGAAGCTTAGTACCTTNTTGAGAAGAAACGACATGCTCATGGATAAGGAGTAAGAGAAAGGAGCAGCTCTGAGTACATAAGATACCACTGCCTCTAGAAGAACTTACCTACAGTCCCACCCAATTCAATGACACAAACATCTGCAGGTCCCTCCTCCCCATCCACAGGAACAAGAGATACTGACTCAATCCAATCCTTGATAGCATCAGTGATGTGTGGAACCACCTGAAAGAGGGGGAGAGAGAGAGAGAGAAACAACCCCACAGTTCTTAGTAACAGATTTCTTTTACACTGATTTTCTCATACACCATATCACGGCAAGAAAGTATAATCACCTGAACAGTTTTTCCGAGGTAATCACCTTTCCTTTCCTTCTCTAGTACAGACTGGTGCATAAACAAACTTATTTAGTGTTGAAGGGAAGCACATCCAGACACAGACACACAAACGTGTATTCGTGTATATGTATAAGCACCTGATATATCTTTCCAGTTGTGATATTGTTATCTTTGGTCAATGTCACATCGAGAAATCGTTCATAATTTCCTAAATCTAGATCAACCTGTTGAAGCACAGTAATATTGCAAAGAATGAGCAAACATCTTTGAAAATATTATATTGGTTAGAACACGATATTCTCTCTGATAATTTTCATGGAAGACAGTATTGATGACAAGAGTTGAACAAAGGGAAAGAATTTAGGTAACAATAAATATCCATTATAAGAAGTGTTTGAAGTCAAAAGTTGTAATTATTGAAGTGAAGTAGGGCAATACGGCAATAGAGAAAAACAAAGAGATGGAAGGAACCTCTCCACCATCATCGAGCACAAAAACCTCCCCATGCTCAAAAGGAGACATGGTACCAGCATCGGTGTTCAAATAAGGATCTGCAAAACGCATTAATATCTCCCAATGATGTGGAAACAAAAGAGAGTAGCAGTAGTGAAGTAAGCACAATTAAAAAGAAGCACAAACCAATTTTGATGGAGGTAACCCGAAGGCCGCAGGCTTTAAGAACAACACCGATGCTACTTGCTGTGACGCCCTTCCCCAAACCACTCACCACCCCTCCTGTTACCACAACGTACTTCATTTTTTCCACTTTCTCCTTTTGCCAGCTACTCACTGTACTACTCACTACACGCCTCGCCGCCGGAATCTGTTGGGTAGCTGCCCGTTTGAATGTACGAGACGGAACCCAAAAGGCGTATCTTGTCAACATCCACATTTTATTTTATAGAGAGACGCAACATTGGGAGCTCACGCCTTACTCGTCCAACCCACCAGTTCACTGCACTATAACTTATTTTTTCCTTTATTATTTTCCTTTCTCCCCCCTTCAAGTGTGTACAGACTTGATTCTACATTAACCTAAACTGTTTCACATGGAACTTCCAAAAAAAGGCAAAAAGGATAGGCTTGCCTATGTATTATACGTCTCGCATTTGATTTAGAACACAAGTTACTTAACAAGGTAAGTACTTGTATAATAAGTATACCGTCAAATTATTTATCGGATAGAATCGAAATGAAAGTTGTTAGAATGGGCTTGACTGGTAAAGACAACTTTTTTGAGCTTGTTTAGAATTGAGGCTTAAATCAAACACCTTTTTAGAGGTTTTTAACACATTTGATCGGTAAAAAAAATAATTCTAGTCGCTAGTTAAATATATAATAATTATATACAAAATATGTACATTATAATTTAATATATAAAAATATATATTTATCACCTATTATTTTGAAGAGGCTATACTGTGTAAATTTTTTCTTTTTTAAACTATATTTGTATATGATATAATTTATTCGTCTTCTTGAGCCAAGGATTCTTTCGGAAACAGCTTCTTTACTCCCTCGGGGTAGGGATAAGGTTTGCGTTACCCACTGTCCTCCGACCTTCTCCCTCTTGGAAACAGGCTAATCAAAATAGGGCATCCAGACCCCATTTGTAGGATTTTACTGGATTATTATTGTCGTTGTTGTTGTTGATACAATTTACATATTTTGTCAAATTGGATTTAATTAACTGCTACTTTTGGATTTTTATTTTTTATTTATTTATGTGTTAAATATTAAATATTTATTATGTCTTTTTATTTTATTAAGCCAGAAAAGTATTATTTATATGGTGGAGCAACATTGCTGTCAAGTTTATCCCTTTGGTACACAAAAAGTGTTGAATGTAGTTGTATTTGAGTTTGCTGAAATACATAAATAGTCACTTAATGTTATCACCAATTATCAGATAGACATTTTAAGGCTGAATACATAGACAGATCTCTAAATTTGTCCTTTTTTTTTTTTTTATTCAGACACTTAAACTCACCCCACTCAATTTATATTTAAATTGTGTCAATTAGACACGACAATTAGATACTCATGCCAATTTAATTGGCACAATCTGCACAATCTAAATAGAGATTGAGTGCTCAATAGATCATGGGGTGAGTTTAAGTGTTTAGGTGAAAAAAAGGGATAAGTTTAGGAGTCTGTCTATGTATTCAGCCACGTTTTAATACTAGTAGTGATCGAATATAGAGAAATACGTCTTGCGAACACCTGAGTTTTGGACGTGTCAAATACACAAATCAATTACCAAGACGTGTAAACTATTTTATTTTATTTTAAAATACGAGCCAGCTGCAATGTACCAAAAAAAAAAACAATGCCTTCCTCTTCCTAGTTTTCTTTTCCTTCCAAGTTCCAAACCCCTTTTTCTTTGCTTTCTTCCTAACCCTTTCCTTCCTTCTCCCCACTTGCCACCTTCAGACCTCCTTCCCCCTCTCCTTTTGAGAAATGCTCTTTTAAGTAATTGATATACAATATTCGTGTTTGATCAAATTTCTTTAAGAAGTGCTTCTAAATTTCGAATTAAGCAAAAACGTATTATCAAGATTCATTCTACAACTAAAGTTATCTTAATCAAGAAAATAAGTTTGAATATTTATTATGAAAGATTTAAATTAATTAAAATATATTAAACAAAAATAAAGTATATATATTAATATTTTAATCAATACAAATATAATTAAACCAAAAAGGAGAAGACAACTCTATAAGAGACTAGTTACGGATAGTCACGTGCCTAATAACTCTATGCTAAATCTTGAGGTGTAGTTTTTTTTTTCTTTTTTTTTTCTTCTTATTTATATTTTAAAAAAAGAGATTTTTATGTTGTGCAATTACTGTAATTGAGTAATTACAGTTTACAACACAACTTTTGTCTAACTATCAATTATTTATTTCTGATTTCATGAGAAAATCTTCGTAATTATCTCAAACTAAATATTAGTCTCATAGAATAAGCAAGTTGATTATTTATGCGATTTAGACTTTAGAATACTTCAACAAAGCAGTATATACAAATTTTAAACTTTTTTACACCGGTAGTCTTTAAAAAATACTTTGAGTAACATAATATATGATTCACCTTTAGAACAATTTCTTCTTCGGTCGAGAAATAACAAGTTTGAATAAATTATATTTGATCAAAAATAATTTTCTACAAAGATTAAATTTTTAGTAAGCATTTAAATCGGGTCCAATTCATAAATTTGGCTGCCCAACGGACATTACAAAGTGGGTTCGTTGCAACTGTTACTTTAACAACAAATTAATCCAAATAATCGATCACTCAACTGTTTAAACTAAAAATAGCCAACGAAAGTATAATATATACATAATTTATATATTATATGTGTATAATTAATATATAAACTATGTATACGGCTAGAAAAAGTAAACAGTGAATATGACAGACTATTCGTATAAAAATTCCTTTAGGCAAGTATAAAATTGGGCGTACGTGTAACTATAATTTTTTCCTAAAACTATCACTTTTATGTCCTTTTTGGGTGTTCAAATAAATCCCCATAGTACATTAAATTCAATTTAATAAACTGTACATGCGTTGGTAATGTTGTAAGTGGCAAAATCAGGGACAGAAAGAGATTCACTATTTGTAGCATTCCATGAATTTTCAGAAAAAGCTCCATTGTAACTTAATTTACGTAAACACGTGAGGTAATGCAAGGTAATAAATTAAGATATTTTTGTTCTCTTAAGCAAGTGAAAATCACTAAAATTCAGTAAAGATTATTTGTAATCCTGCGAGTTCATGAATATTATTTGTAATCCCATATATAAAGATTTTTGTTAGTAATGATATATAAATTATTCTTTATTATTTACAACTAATAATGGTCATATATTTAGCCCCTCGTGAGTATCCTGCTAAGATATGTGACCAGTTATCTAAACCAGCACCTCCTTACATTTCTAAGTGTGCATAAGTACCTCTTTTGTTTGCTATGAGATCTATTTGGTTAGAAGCTATCAAATATACACGTGGGAACCAAAGATTAAGCTAAGAAGGAGAAAAAACAAAGCAATTACATGAACATTTGAAACTGGAAAGACGCGTGTCCGTGGATGTACCAAAAACCCCAATTTCCTAAACTGCCCCTTCGACCCCAAGCTCCTCTCCTTAGCTGCTTCTATAATAGTAGTAATATGAATTAAATTAGTGAGGAATAATCTGGTAAATATAAAATTTTAATAAAATATTTTATCATGAAAAATCATTTTTTTAATTTTGCTTTTGCTTCTTGAAGAAGCGAAAATTGGTAGCTTCTTCTCCGTGTTGCTGCTTAAACACCTCAAAGCTCAACACAAAAAGTGTTTTTTTGCTCTCCCAGAATATCCACATCGGTTACAATTGCAGTTGCTATGTGCATTATATTCTAGAGTTTTATGCATAAAATGAATTTTGCTGTTCGTCCTTCTGTTCTAAAATTTCCCTCTTACAAGTAGTTACACTAAACTGGAGGTAGACGCTACTTTTGCTGTAGTGTTGTGGAAGACAAACTATGGACTCAAGATATTAGAATAACAGGACAATTAAGAGAAGATTAACAAAAAAACAAAAATCATGCTTTCGGACACTTGTGTGCATCCATGTTATGGCTCATCTCTTTTCGGCGAACAGCGTTGGGGCATATCTCCAAGCATGGCTCTTTAAGAGTGTCGTCAGCTTCTGGCTGAGGAGGTAGAATCCCGAATTTAAACTGCCAATTAGATTGGCACGACGTTACGCAAGTTCCCATGGTGTTTCTTGGATGCACAAAAATTAAATTACAAGCATCCCATGCATGTGCTGCCAATATGTCAACTTCCTCACAACTATCAGCTGTAGTTATATCAACTAGAAGTGGATTATATTCTTACTCACTCTTCGCTCAATGATCTCTTTTTTGGGTGGGGGTGGGGGTGGGGGGGAATGCTGCTTAACATTTTGGTCTCAATCTTGAGTTCCGTTAAAACCTCCACATGGTCTGGTTGTGTTGCCAATAATATGCTTAGGATGCATGAAAGAAATATGCTTTTTACAATAGCACCATCACTTGGCCAGTGAAAACAGTTACCTGGCAGCTATAATCGGTGAAGTTTGGCTCCATCACCAATGGAACTCCCATGTGATCCTTGAAGAAAGTCTAAAAAAGAGAACGGCAAAAATGTGATGCACAGCAAACATATGAAGCTCAGATATGGGAACCTTGAACATAGTTGTAATACATTTGCGGAAGCAGCCATTTGTCTTTTTAAGTAAGTAAATTTCATTAACAGAAGCAGCGATTAGTTTAAGCATTTGTAAAGTTCAAGAAGCTAATAAATCGGATAGAAACATCAGTGTGCCACCACATATTAGATCATTGTAGTGCAGAACAAAATTTAGATCATCTGCCTCTAATACATTTAACTTGAGTTAAGATTCGTGTGATCTCTAAAAGGCCTCTAAGTTAACCTATACATGTACTCTTAGCATCATTGAAAAAGAATGTATGAGAAAAACGCAATATGAAAAATAGCATGAGATCTCATTCCAATAACTTTTCACAGAGGTAAGAATATTGAATTTGACAACTCATGAAGCTACTGTATAACCTAATCTGCAACTCCAGTACATGTTCTAAAGTGTACACGCTTAATCAATCTTTTTACTTGGTGTAATCTTTGCAACATAAATAACTTCCTTTTGTTTTTGGATTTTGTTAGCTCAGTGAGTATTTAGATAAAAGTCAAAAGAATGTCCAGGAGCAAGCTTCTTTTGGTGTACTCAGTTGCATCTAGGAGATGCATACTGAATGAAATCTTGCTTTATCTGATCGTGAAAAAAAAAAAAACTTTCTAATTATAAATCACTACTATCTACAGTTTGAGTATCCACACATAAAATATTGAGGTGGGGTGGGGGCTAAAATCCTTGAACAAGTCTTGAGCAACTAAAGTAACATGTAATGATACATAAGGTTATATCGCTCTTCGGGCAGTACAAGCATGCCTTTTGTGAAGAGTTACATAAAATGATAAAAACAACAA